TCCAAGTCATTGATTAAAATGTTGCACATCACAGACCAAAGACAAATCATTTGTCCACTCCTTTAGACACCTCCCTTCAGGGAAGATATTCACCCATTAATCACCACTTCTTTGGACCTATCATTCATCAATTAGATGACATACTAATTGCATGGAACCTCGGAACACAACAAAGTCTTATCAAAGAAATCCATAGTCATTCTAAAGATATAAATGCATAGTGCTCGGATTAAGACACTCATCTGGACAGGCAGAGCACTAAATTAGTTGATCAGTGTGTATGTGTGTAAATATATATAAATATAAATAAAAATGAAATATATGTATATTTTACCTAAAGATATATGTATATGTGTATGTGTGATATGTGTGTGTTATATATATATATATTATATATATATATATATGTATATATATTATATATATGTATACACACACACATACGCAGATACTGAAGACTAAGAAAGAGCTGGACTTAAAAACGAATGGGAGGAGCAGTTAGAGCTAAACAGCATTGGGAAATTTACAGATGACTCAAACAACAAATGGAAACTTCCTTCCTAGGAAGAAAACAAACATTTATTAAGTACCAACTGTGTGTTAAGCACTTTATAAATATGATCTAATTTGATCCTTCCAACAACCCTGGGAGGTAGGTACTATTATTAAGAAACTGAGGCAGGCAGAGATTAAGTGACTTGTCCAGGGTCACACAGCTAGTAAGTGTTCAAGGCTGAATTTGAACTCAGGTTCTTCCTTACTCCAGATCTAGAGCTCTATCCATTACACCACCTAGGAAACTTTCACCCCGTAGCCATCTTCTCCTCACTGATGACTCTTTTTCTGAGAAACACCAGTTTGGAAAGGACCTCAGTCACACTTCTCCTCACTCTCAATTTGACTTTCTCTAGACTCTAACTTCTCTTCTGCTGCATTGCAGGCACATGAGGTATCCTTCCTCCTCTTTCCCCTTTCTTTTCTTTTTAAAAATATTTTTATTTATTTTATTTTTGATTTATGGAATAAAACAAGCCTTTCCATAACATAGTATAATAAAAAAGTGATTGTATGTGAAACTGCAAATCTGTTACATGCAACTTCCTATTCCTTTTAAATATATAATAAAGTTATCATGTAAATTTCTTTTATTTTCCTTTTTTTCTTCCTTCCCCTCTCCAACCTAGAGATGGCTACCATTAGACACAAATACATATTTATATATGTAAAATAATTCTGTACATACTTCCATTCATCAGTTCTTTCTCTGGATGCAGATAGCATCTTCCTTCATATGTCCTTTGTAGTTCATTTGGGTATTTATAGTACTCACAATGACTTATTCACTCTTCCCCCATCAGAATGTAAGCTCCTTGAGAGTAGGGATGGTCTTGTTTGCTTACATTTGTATCCCTACCACTTGATGTGGTGCCTGGCATTTAGTATGAACTTAATAAATGGTCTATCATCTATCTATCTATCTATCTATCTATCTATCTATCTATCTATCTATCTATCTATCTGTCTATCTCCATTCATCCATCCATCTTTCTATCTGCTTATCTATCTAAATTATGGAAAGATGCATAATAGATATAAATAGGCCACAGCAGAAGGGTCAAACATGAGACCTGTGGGCTGCATGAGGCCCAAAGCACTCACAAGGGCTGCCTAAACCAGATTAAAATGTAATTAGAAAATAGTTAGCAAAATGAATAAAAATACAACAAAATGTGGAAGATAATACATTTTAAAACTAAGTCAATGTGTGGTCCAAAGGAATCTTTATCTATGGATTCGAGGCCCCCATTCTATTTGAATTTGACACCACCTGGCTACAGCATATTACCCATGATGAATTGCTACAAGAAACAATGTGAAAGACATTAACACCACCAAGGATCAGAAAAGGTGGTTGGTTAGTATATGGTAAGTAAGAGTAAGGGAGAACAGACATCCTAAGTGTGTCCACCATGCCTGTCCCCACTTAAATGTCAGAAAAACCAGATAAAGGCCTGTAGCACATTGAGTGGATTCTCTATTCAGAACTTGCCTAGAGACGTGGATAAGAATAGCCCTGAGTGAGAAGCTTTGGAGGGGCTGGGATCTATACAGGTGGAGAAGGCTCCCCTACCCCCACCCAATAAGGTCACAGGTTCATCAATGTATAGAAGTTAGTGTTTCCAAAGATAAAACAAATCAGCAGGTTTGGCCATAAAACTCAGGCCCCATTATTCTCCAGAGCTGGCTCTGATAACTTCTGCTGCTGTTTATAGGGAATAGCCAGACACGTCCATTTTTACGAATGGTCTTGTGAAATGTTTATTTTGTTTATTTTTGATTTTGGCTTTCATTTGGATGAACTTGGAGCCAGGAAGGTGTTGGGTTCAAATGCCATCTTAGATGCTTATTAGCCACGTGGTGGGGAGCAAATCACTAACCTATTTGAGCCTTGGTTTTCTCATCTGTAAAATTGGGAAAATGGCACCCATCCTAGAGGATTATTGGGAAAAACAAATGAAATAACATATATAAAGTAGGTTGGACACTCTGAAAACTCTGCAAATAAGAGCTGCTATCATTATTATTAATACTACTCCTATCTGGATTCATATTTTACCAACGTGCTTTCCTTTTCATTCTAAACATGGTGAGTTTTCTTACTTGGGCCTCCATTTCTCTCAATGAATATACCACTCTTCTTCCCCCCCCCCGCCCCAAACCGTACTTTAGGGGACTCAGCTTAGCAGGGATAATTAGGGCCTGGGTTCCTTTAAGAAAAGGGAGAAATCAATTCTGGGAAGAAAGAGCTGTTAGCAGAAGACCTTAGCCTGAAGCCAATTTGGATTTCCCCATAAAATCTGGGAATTTCTGGATTTGCAAGAAGCTTACACAATTAATCTAAATTAGTTGGACTAGAGAGCTACTGAAATCCCTTCCAACTCCCAAATGTAGGGATTTTCTGGATCCTGAACTCAAGTGAGCCCAAATACCTCCTTTTTTTGGTTTGTTTTGAGAGTCAATTAGGGTTAAGTGACTTGCCTAGGGTGACACAGATAATAAGTGTTATGTGTCTGAGGCCAGATTTGAATTCCTGACTCCAGGGCTGGTGCTCTATGCACTGTGCCACTTAGCTGCCCCTGAATACCTCTTTGATAAAATGAAGAAATCCAGACAATGACCTAAAGCATTATTCAACCCCAATATTTAAAACTTGACCTAAAATTTTAAAAAAATAATTTTTAATGTGGTTTCAGTAGTAGGAAACAGCAAATCCTTTCTTCCCAGGGCTCCAAGCTTCCACACAGCTGAGAAAGGAAGTGATGCCTTGCCTCTTCTTCCATGGGTGGCAATATGATGAAAGTCAGGGAACTAGAGGGAAAACAGCACTAGGCTTGGAGTTTGGACACTCGGTTCAAGTCCTCAATCTGATGTGTTTTAGCTGTGTGACCAAGGGCAATTAAACTAACTCTCTGTGCTTCAGGATAGGGAGAAAAATGCTTTCACTACCTACGATATAGGTTTGTTATGAGGTACTTCGAAAACCCCAAGGCACTAGGTGTATGCAGTTATTTTTAGTAGTAATAAAGGTATTTTTGTGAACCTTAGGGGCAAATTTGAGTCAGGTTGAAGCATTCTATTTTCTGGAAGATAGGAAAAGCTTGGTAGATTTGTGGGGTCTAAATTCCATGCTTCTTATCACAGCTCTTTCCTTCCTCCACCTGATCAACTCTGGATAGACGGAGAGTTTTCTAGCTAGCCACATTATTATGAGTGAGGGTGGATTATCAAAAGCTGGCCAGCAATCAGGCATCTTCCTGATTGGCTGAGAGTAAACCTGGGATTAAACTCAGTCCAGAGGGCCCAGGTTTTTGAGTACTTTGGGGTGGAAGACTCCCATATATTTTGGGAGTCCTAATGAGGTCACAGGCACCACCAGCCAGAAACCAGAGGACCATGGAGTTCAAACTAGATCCAGAGATAAATTAGCTGGCTAGAATAGCTTAGAAATTCAGTTCTGTACTGGAATCTTTTATATGATCTTCCATTTACTTTAGCCTGGTATATCTTTTCTAAATTAAATGGCCTTTTTAAACTTACAAGTAAAATCTTTATGTACAGATGACCCAGGTAGGATAAGGGAAAGGAGGAACAGGTACTAGACTGGAAGGGAGAAGGGAAAAGGCAGAAAACCTAATTAGATATCAGGTACAACAGTTGTCTGACTAAGGGAGACATTGTGATATGATGGAAAGGACTCTATCTCTTGAGTCAAAGGACCTCAGTTCAAATCTTGCCTGTGATGACTACCCTGGGTGATACTGGGAAAGGCTGGACCTCTTTGGGCAACTTCCTCATCTGTAAAAGATGAGCGAAACTGGACTATGGGCTCCTTCCAACTATAGTCTATGGACCAAAAAATGCCAAAGGGGTTGGTTCCGTGTCTCAAACCAGGGAGCAGAAATCCGTGAAAGTCTTGATTTAGTAAAAGAGAAATCTCTGGGGCCAGGCACAAGATTCCCTGGATCAGTCCTCAGGGAAAGCTGGAATCCTTAGGAAGCTCACAGAGATCAGTGAAGCCTCAGAATGGAAAAGCATCAGGCCGAATCTCTCACATGCTGCAGCTTATTGGTGGGATGAAAGAAACTAAACACCCGAGCTGAAGCCATTCACCAAAACAGCGGCTAGACAGCTATGACAAGGCCGAAGGATCAGAATGGATCCCCTTGGAGGCTTCCCCATCAGTAGACCAGTGGGCAGCCAGTCTCCTGAAAGGTTCCTTCTTTGAGGGAATACTCAAAGCAGGAATCATTCGGGAGAGAGACAGCAACTAGGGCTGAGGGATGATGTCAGGGAATGTCCCTTGATATGATTTGTAGGGGCCCCACCCTCATTTCTCATTGCTTCCAACTCTGCCATCATTCCCTTTTCCCACTTCCCTTTGGCTCATTAGAGATCTCTCTCCAGAGGTCTTGTATTTAGCCAACAAACACAAGGAAACAGAAGGGTGAAGCCATGTTTATTCAGTAGGGTTGAGGTCCTTTTCCTGTGGTCCTTCGGGGCCACTTCTCCATTGCCTTCAGACTTGGGGCATGTGGGCTCTAGCTAGCTGGCAAGGCTGTGTTTTCCAGGCCCTTCTGAAGCCTCCCAGAGAGGTGTGTGTGGGACAGCCCAGGAATTCAGTCCTCACTCTATAGGGATGATGATGTTTCCTCCTACAGCCTGACTGTACTGACCTGGAATTAGGCTGAAGAATAGCCAGGAGGCTTGGGTTTTTCTTCTCACCAGAACCCAGTGGGCTCAAGGAGAAATAAGACAGAGTAAAGTGATGTATTGTCTATCATCAGATACTTTCAGGCGGAAGAAGACTGAAGCTTAGCTCAGCATCCACAGAAAACCTCTTCCCCTCTTCCCTGGAGGGCAAACCTCTGAACTTGAAGGAGATAGGGAGGGTTTGTCTCAACCTTTTCTCCCCAGTTTCCCAGTCCCTGGCATGAGCTGAAGGGCACAATACAGGGCTATGCAAGGACCAAACCTTGATGACACACAGAGGTCAGTGTTGGTGCACAGAAATCTGGAGTGTCTCACAGCTCCGTGAAGAGATGGACTCCTGGGTGCTGTAGGTTCATAGTGTAACAAACTCATGAGAGTTAATGCTGGTGCCTGCTGGCCTGAGGGGAAGTAGGATGAGGTAAAAGATGGGGCCAGACCCAGCCCTACAGTGTTGATGAGCCCAGGGCCCCTTGAGGTTCAGGATTCCACACATCACTCTCAGCTCTCAAAGACCCAGAGGCAGATGGGACCCCACTTAACCTGTAAACAAAAGGCATATTTTAGATGTTCTCATGCAGAAGACAAGCAATTTACAGATCATTTCTGCTCCCTGAAAGCTTAGAAGAATAGAAAGGAGAGGGGGCAAGGTCATGACCAGCCAGTCAACAAGCATTTATTAAGCTCCACTGTATGCAGGGCACCATACTAAGTTCTGGGGATACAAAGAAAGGCAAAGAATAATCCCTGATCTCTAGCAGCTCACAATGTAATGGAGGAGACACCATGCAAAGAACCGTGTACATACAGCATAGACACAGCGTAAATGAAAAGCAATCTCAGAGGGAAGCCACTAATGGGAAGGGAAGACTGGAAAGACTTCCTGCAGAAGGGGAAGTTTGAGCTGAGTCCTGAGGAAGCCAGGGAACAGGAAGCAGAGAAGACAAGGGAGAATTCCAAGTTAAGTGACTTGGCCATCAGAGAGGGAATTCGAACCCAGGCTTCCTGACCTTAAGCCCAGTACTCTAGCCACCGTATTATGCTGATTCCTAATACAGAGGATGTTATAGAGATGACAACCCCACTCGACTGATCCATAGACCGTCAGAGAATTTGTCCCAAGAGCAAAGACAGACTGACCACAGCTTATTGGGAGCTGGGTGGGTCATGACATCCTGAAGGAGGACTGAGGCATGACCTCACGTACTTACTAAAAATTCAAGTGATGAGAATAATAATAGCTAGCACTTATATCACACCTACTATGTGCTAAGTAAACTCTTTACAACTATCATCTCATTTGGCTCTCACCACAATGCTGGGAGGGAGGTGCTGTTATTATTCCCATTTTACAGGTCAGGAAACTAGTAAAACAGGTAAAGTGATCTGCCCAAGGTCACACAGCTAGCAAGTGACTGAGGCTGGTCTGGAACTCAAATCACCCCCACAGCTCTGATCTGACTCTGGGATGGTTTCCCAGATTTTAAAGCTTAAATAGAAAGGTCAACAATTCATTGCGGTTAGCTCGATAACCTGGAAATAGCCAAAACTGCTATCTGGTGGCTGGGGAAATCTGAGATGTGCTTGCTTTCCCGACCAGGTAGGTGTGGCTGTTCAATCTGAAAACAAATGCTGTTGATCTTCACGACCTTACCTCTCAATGATTCGGTTATTATGTTGGAGATCAAAGGCCAGTAACTTCATCTCCTCTCGGAGTTCTTGAATGCTGTGTGAGGAACCAAGAGGAAAGAGTCAAGGCTCAGGCCAGGATTGATGGGAGCCAATCCCACAGCCAGAAGGGCGGGTTGGGAGGATCCAGCTCCTTCCAGAGCTGGTCCCAAAGGATCATGGGATTTAGATTGCTAGATTACAGATCTAGAGCTGGATGGGACCAGAAAGATCAATAGGTCCAACCCCCTAATTTTACAGATGAGGAAAATGAAACTGAAATAGGGCCCAGGGTCATATAGCTGGTGAATGTCTAGGGCAGGACCTGAACCCAGGTCTACTCCAAGAACAGTGCTCTGTCTACTTTTGCCATGCCATGAGAACTTCCCTAAACCCAGACTTAACCTAAGGCAAGACAATGGTATTCCTTCCATTGCCCTGCCTTCCCAAACTTTTTTTTTTTGGAGGCAAAATAACATTAAGTGACTTGCCCAGGGTTACACAGCTAGTATGTGTCTGAATCCTGATTTGAACTCAGATCCTCCTGACTCTAGGCCCAGTGCTCTAACCTCTGAGCCACCTGGCTGCCCCCCTCTCAAACTTACTGGAGAACCAGGTCCTTCGGAAGGGGTCTGGAATAAGCAGCAAAAGGAGGGGGAGAACTCTGAGCTGCTTTCATTCTGCCCTGCCAAAGCCGACGAGATAATCGGTCCAGGGCCTGAAAGGGAAAAAAAACCATTTACTCGACTCCTTAGCTTGCTTGGTGATCTCTATATATCCCAGCTTCCAATCACAGCGAGCAACTTCAAAAGGCCATCTTGTCCGATCTCTCTTGCCTCCATCCTGGAAAGATGAGCATCCACCCTGTTTTAGAAGCCTCTGGGGAGGGAGATTCTGTGAGTGTTCAGTCATCAGACTTCTGGGAAGTTCTTCCTTCTACCTAACCTAAACGCCTCTTGCTGCAACATAAACAATCTGCTGGGAAAGCAAGGTGTGGATTTTTGAGAACATCTAGATCAGGGAAATCTCTAGCCTCTGAAACAAGTAGAATGTGTGTGTGCATGTTTGTGAATATAGTCTTGTGTCTGCTGGAATGAAGGAAACAAGCATTTATTAAGCACCTACTGTGGGCCAGGCACTGTGCTAAATGCTTTATCAATAGCATCTCATTTGATTCTCATGCCAACCCTGGGAGGTCGGTGCTTGAGGAAACTGAGGCAGAGGTTAAGTGACTTGCCCAGGGTCATGCTGCCATTAAGTGCCTAAAGCCTGATTTAAACTGGGGTTTTCCTGTCTCCAAGCCCAGCAACCTAGCTGCTTCCATTGGAGAGTGCAGGTGGGAGGGTTCCTCACTGAAGGAACACATCCTTGATCTAGACCTTTGATGGCTCATCAGGGCTGGTGTCCTTATTCTGGTCTCATCACTTTGAGCACACCCAAAACCAAGCAGCCAGGGAAGGGTGGAAGCCCTTGTACCTCCTTCCCTGTGCAAAATGAAGGAATGGGGCTTACTCATCTGAAGTACAATCCACCTGGATAAGTAGAAGCCACAAGGCCTCTGTTTGGAAGAGTGACATGGCATGGGCCCCAGACAGGTCCCACCCTTCCCACCTAGGGATGTCACAGCCTCACAAAAGCAGTCCCAGGAAGCACTATTCCTCCCCAACCCCAGCTTAGGTATCACCCATAAGACATATCTAGAAATATCACTTCCCTGGCTTAGGTTTGGAAAGTGGCCCCTAAACTAAACCCGTCCGGTCTGAGTGCAGGGCAGTTTTGTTCCAAGGCAGGAAGGTGGACGTGATGACCCCAGGAGTCACTGGCTGTCAAGTATCACTTGGCACTGCTGAAGGGCACCTCACCTTACTGAGCTGCCCCTGGGCTTCTTGGGCTTCTATCTTACAAGCGTTTACCGAGCTGCCGACCAGTCGGAGATGTTTTTTTGTCTCATGCACCATCCTAGGGAGGAGGGAAACACAAAATCCACAAATAAGACTCAGGGACACACTGCCATGCCTTCTTTCCACCAGGGTCTAGTTCAGCCCGCCTTCCCATGTGCATTGCTTCATGGCCAAAAGTATGTACAGGGAAAAGAGGACTGATCATTCCACATCTGTCCCAATGACCCCATACCGGGCCCCCAGCGGGACCGGTATCCCCATAATTAGCCATTTACATTCTTCAATGCCTTTGCCCTTCCAGATGTGCACTCACTCATACAGACCCCAGTGTGATAATGATGATGAATTTTGACTGATATTAGACTCTACTCCCATAATCATCATGTGGTAGGAATCACATTATGATGGCGATGTCGGGGGAGAGGGATCCCACTTGCCTCATGGCCTTTCTCTTTAGCAGTGAGAATCACAATATGCATGACCATGAATTCAGAGGCTAGACTCTAACCCTCAGTTTAAACAAATCTAGGATGGGGGTTTGGGGGGAGCGTGTGAAATGCTTGAGAGCAGAGTACATCCACTATTCTAGCAAATTTTCCCCTTTCCAAAATGTTCAGAGCCCATAGCTTTGCCCTTTAACTCCCACAGAACAAGAAGACTTGGGCAGACCTGTAAGATCATTTCCTGATGCCCACCTGTGGCCCCATTGCTATATATATAATATATACGTATGCATATATATACACGTGTATATGCTGCATATATATATATATAGGCACATAACTGTGTGCAGGCATAAATACACTATGTGTATGTATACATGTATGTGTGCCAGTGTAAATATGCTGCATATGTGTATATATGTGCATGTGTAAATATATGGTACATGCTTATATATGTATGCACATATATGCATATACCATACATGTGTATATGTGTGCATGTGTAAATATATGGTATATGCTTATGTATGTATACATATGTATATATACTATACATGTGTATATATGTGCATGTGTAAATACATGGTATATGCTTTGTATGTGTAGATGTATATATGCATGTGTAAATATACTATATATATGTAATGTATGTATGCATGTATGTATATATTGCACATATAGATATACCGTATATATGTCTATGTATGTGTGTATATAGGTGTATAGTCTCCCCCATAAGAATGTAAATTCCATAAAGAGAGGCTGGTTTCATTTTTGCCTTCAGTCCTCATTTTGTGTCCCCTCCAATTATTTTATATGTGTATATGCTGTCTTCCCCATAAGGATATAAGTTCCTTCTATCCCCAGAGACTAGCATACTGCCTGGCACAGAGTGGTGCTTAATTAATACTTTTTGATTGATACAAATGGGAGGGGCCTTGGGGGTGGAGGTGGTTGTGGTGGTAGGGACCAAAGTCTAGAAAGGTTAGCAGAATGTAAATGTTTAAGGACAGACTATTTTGTCTTTGTATCCCAAGTGTGATATTGTTGTTGGTGTTCAGTTGTGTCTGACTCTCTGTGACCCCATTTGGGGCTTTCTTGGCAAAGATACTGGAGTGGTTTGCCTTTTCCTTCTCCAGCTCATTTTTACAGATGAGGAAACTGAGGCAAGCAGGGTGAAGCGACTTGCCCAGGGCCACATAGCTAGTAAGTGTCTGAGGCCAGATTTGAACTCATGAAGAGAAGTCTTCTCGATTTCCAAGCCTGGTGTTCTGTCTAGCGCTTAATAAAGGGTTGACGCGTTGTTGAGTTTTTCCAGGGTTTCACAAGGCAGGACTGAGGAGCTCTGTCTCCCAGTCCAGGGCTCTCTCTCCTCAAGATCATGTTAACTACTTGTGTAACCTTGCGTAAATCACTTTAACCTCTCTGGGCCTCTGTTTTCTCATCTGTACAACAAAAGGGTTTTATAGATGGCCTCTGAGCTTTATATCCTTCCAGCTCTATATCCTATCGATTTGTGTTGATTCTTTAATGGGACCATCTCCCACTATACTCAGCTGAGTCTGAAATCATTCCTGGTCAGAGAAAAAGAGCAGGGAGGTCAGAATCTAAAAGGGACTGGACAGACGCCCAAAGCCCCTCTAGGGCAGAGGATGGCATGTTGCTGTTGTCATTTGTCCTTCATTCTCAAAGAGGGCCATGACATCATAGAGGTGACGGCATGTTGGGGAGGGCTAGGAAGAATCCTGCCTCGTTCTCTGACTCCCTTGATACCGCCTTTAATGGCCGTGAACCGCCCTGGTCTTCTGACTCAGGGATTCTGGGAGATTTTCACTCAAGGCCTCTCAGACAAAGCCCCTAATAAGAGTTATGTTGCGGGGCTGGTGGGGGAAGGGAAGGGAGCGGACCCCTTGAGAGCCCAGGATGGCGTCCGGTGGCCTGGAATGATTTACTCCAGATGTTGGAGCACTGTGATAAGGAAGGGATGCTTCAGGGGAGAGGAAGGAATCCTGGGCTCGCCCATTACCTCATCCTCTTGCCGTGTGTGAGGACAGCTGTCTGATACTTCTGCACACAGTCCTCCTGAAAAACCAGCAGGAGTCTTTTAGCCAAATGGCCAAAGTTCACCCTAAAAAACAAAACGCAGAAAGCAATGTATAAGTCACCACCAAAAAGAAAGCTGGTCCCTTTCCTTAAACCCCAGAATCTCTAGTCACAGTCATCATCATAGAGATGGTGGTAATAACATGTAATAATAACATAATAATATATGGAATTGTCAAAACAGATTTATCTAAAACTTTGTCTCTAAATGGGTGCTACATTCAAGAGGGAGAAAAAAGGCTAAAAATCTCAAAGGAGAAGGTGAGTCAGGCTGACACATCTGCCCCCTTACATGACACCAAAACCCAACAAAAGAATGTCTAAACAATTTCCTGGGGCAGTTAGGTGGTGCCATAGCGCATAGAGTGATGGGCCTGGAATCAGGAAGACTCATCTTCCCATGTTCAAATCTGGCCTTAGACATTTACTGGCTGTGTGACCCTAAGCAAGTCACTTTACCCTGCTTGCCTCAGTTTCCTTCTCTGTAAAATGAGCTGGAGAAGGAAATGACAAACCACTCCGGCATCTTCACCAAGACAACTCTAATGGGGTGGCAAAGAATTGTACACCCCTGAACAACAGCAAAAGCAATTTTCTCACAGTGCTCATGAAAGGTGGGTAAGACGAGTATCACTACTCCCATTTTACAGATGAGAAGACTGAGGCTCACTCAGAGAGAATAATATCCATGGTCACACAACTAGTTAAGTGTCAGAGCCAGGTCTCATGATTATAAATTCCAACACTGCTATATTTTCCTAGAGGAAATGAGTGGACTAGAGCAGGATTTTATGGAAGAAAGGACAACAAAGGGCTAGAAGGAGGATTGAAAATAGTGAGCTGGAGACTGAGCTTCCTCGCTCTGTGGCTTGGAGCGAGCTGAACCTCTGGACCTACCTCCTAATGGAGGCATCATCCAACCGCCGGCCACGGGAGGCACCAAGGGCTTTGTGTGGGTGTGCCAGATTTAGGGCAATAACAGCCATCACCCACAACCACCACCAGGACAGGAACTCCAGGGGAAAGAACACTGGACTGGCAGTAAGGAGGCTTGGGTCCTGACCCTGCTCTGCCATTAACTGGTTATGTGACTTTGACTAAATCACTTCCCTGCTTTGGGCCTCACTTCCCTGGCCCGAAAAATAAAGGAGTTGGACTAAATGAGCTTATCCAGACCCTTCCAAAATTCTGAGCTGGTGAATAAGTCTTTTCATCTCAGCCTCAGTTTCCTTATCTGCAAAATGGTAGTAATTCTAACTGGACTACTCATTTCAAAGGAGATTATATTATTTTATATTATTATATTGGATTTTGTGGGTCAAAGGAAATAATGCATATAAAATGCTTAATCTACTGCTAAGTGCCACATAAATGCCTGCCATCATCACTGCCATTAAAAAGTCCCATGTTGCACCAGGATTGCAAATAGAGTTTCCCAGACACTCTGCTTAACACCAGACAATCTACCATTGCCCAGATCAGCCCTTCCAGTGTTAGAAAGAGCGACATGGAGTGACAGAAATTGACACCACCTCGAGGGGGCGCCAATGACCAAGGAAGGAAGTGGGGAGGCTGGTGCATGTGTCCATCCCCAATACTGGGTCCTCGGTTCCCCTCCCAGCCACCCAGCCCACACACAATCGCATTACTCACTTATCCAGCTTGTGGATTTGTTCCTCATTGTAGCCTAACCCTAAACAAACAAGAGCAGAAAGTGGAATCGGAGTCAGTTTTCATCAAAGTGACTGTCCAGCGAGCCCTGGGGCAGAGGCAAAGCATGTTCATTCAACTAGGAACACAGGTGTTTAATAAGATAGCACAGGGTCCGCCATAACGATCACTTCAGTCCAAAACAGCAGAATAATTCATCTTTCAACAAACATTTAGCAAGCATCTACAAGGCACAGCGACAGGCAGGCTCAGGGATAGCAAGACAAAAAGCAAAATTATCCCTCTTCTCAAAGAGCTTGCTTTTATCTATTTGTTATTCATTATTATTATTATTATTATTTAAGGCAGTTGGGGTTAAGTGACTTGCCCAGGGTTACACAGCTAGTATGTGTCAAGTGTTTGGTCTGAGACCAGTATTTGAACTCAGGTCCTCTTGCCTTCAGGGGCGGTGCTCTATCCTCTGTGCTACCTAGCTGCCCCTATTATTTATTATTCTTGACCCTCCCAGTGGTTTGGCCTGAACTCCTCTGCAACCACTGAAGGGCCATCTTGGTTATTCCCCTAGGAAATGCTGCCCTCTGCTGGTCTTCTAGGAGAATATGACTTTCCAGGCTAACGGGAATCTCAGGGAGGATAGTGCCATCTTTGGGGTTTCCCCACCATCTTACTTTTGGTGTTCCTTCCCAACTTCCCACTTCCCTGTCATGTGCCCTCAGGACCTTGTTCTCTAATAGTTAATACAGTCTCCAATACGTACAAAAGAAGCAGCTGGGAGCAAAGGAAAGAGGGCTGAATTTGGAGTTACTGGGATCAGATTTAGGGGAAGGGAACAAGCACTTATTAAGCACCTACTACGTGCCAAACATTGTAACACGTTATCAAGTCCAACCCTTTCATTTTACAGATGAGGAAACTGAGGCCCAGAGAATTTCAATGATTTGCCCAGGGTCATACAGCTAGTGTTTATGGCAGGGTTTAAACAAGGGCTGGGAGCCTGTGGCCTCAAGGCCACATGTGGCCCTCTAGGTCCTCAAGTTCAGTCCTCTGAGTGAATCCAAACTTCAGAGAACAAATCCCTTTAATGCAAGGATTTGTTCTGTAAAACTTTGAATTCAGTCAAAAAAAATTGCACCCAAGGACCTAGAAGGCCACATGTGGCTTCGAAGCCATGGGTTCACCAGCCCTGAAATTTAAACTCGATCTATCTCACTCCAGGTCTAAATCTAGGCCGCACCTAGCTCGGACTGTGTTCAAATCCCGACTCTGCCACTTGCTATTTTTATAATCTCAGGCTAATAACTTCTCCAGCCACAGTTTCCTCAATTCTAAAATAAGGGAAATGGCCTAGATGATTTTGAAAAGTTTCTTCTATCTCTAAATCTATAATCCTACATTGTAAAAAGAGCCCTGGGCTTAGACTTCCTAACAATTAGAACTACTTCAGAGTGGGATAGGCTCCTTTTAATGTGGTAAGCTCCCTATCACTAGAGGTATTCAAGCCAACACTGGATGATCACTTGTTGGAAATATTGTCAATAACTTTCTTGTTTCTGGTAGGTTTTAGACTAGTTAACCTCTAAGATCCTTTTCAGCTTTGAGATTCAATAATTCTGATTCTGAGCATCAGACTTCTACGAGGTAAGACTTTACCAGTATCAAAGAGAGGCACTTTGGGCAGAAGTCTGGTCCAAGTGTCCTAAGGGGTTTTAGGTTAGTGAATAAGTAGGGATGAACTTCTGGGAGATAGGGCTGGATTTTAATACTCATACCTCCCCACCCCATCACAGAATGCCAGAGCCGAAAGGGACCCTAGAGAGCTAGCCAACTTGTTCAATTCTCTCATTTTATAGATGTGGAAACTGAGGCCCAGAATGGCTAAATGAGCTGGTCATGGTTGTACACCCAGTGAATAAGGAAGCCAGGGATAGAACCCAAATCCAATTCAAAACCAAATCCAAATCCAGTGCTCTCTTCAATACGCCACACTGCCCTTCCCACTCCCACAATAGTGACAGGGCCTAAACTACCTTGCAAACTTTATAGCCACATCCCAGTCTTATCTTCCTTCCAGTTGGCCAGATTAACCTACTTATCATAACAAACTGGGTCAGTGCTGTCCTCTGAACATGCTACCCTTATTCCCACCTCGTTGGCCTTTGCCCGTGCAATGCCCTCCTTCCCTATACACATTCTAGTCTTCCCATCCATCTTTCAAGGCCAACTCTACCACAAAGCTTTCACTGGTCTCCAGCCCTTGCTGATCTCCCTCCTCCCCTCTACTCACAGCCCTTCACGACCACATCACTCAATACACCTGAGCGACCAGGCCACAACAGATCACATCACCTCCCACCTTGATCCCCTGCCAACTAGACTGTAAGCTCCATGAAGGCAAGAGCTTCTAATGCTTCTCTGCAGCCTCACACTGTACTAGGCATGGAAGAGGCCTCAATAACTAGGTGAATGAAGGAAGCTGAAAAGGTCACTTGTCCTGTGCCTCAGCTGCTCACCTGGCCTCATCCTGGCTTTCTTAAATTGCTTGTAGATGACGTTCATCTTGTCCAGGCAGCATCGAATCTGATGGGTGCTGGGGGTCAAGAGAAAGGCCCCAAAAGGAAAGTCAAACAGCATTAGAGAGATTCGGTGGCAGGGGAAGGAGGTTGTCTGCCTTAGGGACCAGAGGAAACCCTCTCCACCTCAGCTTTTCCAAGATATTGGTCAAGGAGGAGGTGTCATGGAAGGGAGGCCAAGAGCTGTTCCCATATCAGCCTTTCCTGATAATCTCTGTCTTCCCGCTCCACTTCCCCTCCCCCCCCATTCTGGCAAAGACACAACTATCCCAGTTATCACACAGAGGAGACTGAGCAAAGGTTTCCTCTTTCCTGCCTCCTCTAAATGTCATATACTCTAAATAGAGCTGGAGGCCTTAGGATTATCACACTCAAGGAGGAAACTTTCAGACACTGAGGCATATGCCACAGGAGTGGCGATGGAATTGGGGGAGGAAAGAGAGTAGCAGCGCTTTCTTAATTTGCCTCCTCATCTTTTTCCAGGTCCCCTTTGTGGGTTGCCTGTCTTCTCCCATCAGAATGTAAACTCCTTAATATGCTTTGCATGACTGTACATGGATATCAAATTGCTTGCCTTCTCCATGGGGAAGAGGAGGAGGGAGGGAAGGAAGAAGGGAGAGCTTTCGGAACTCAAAACTTCTTAAAAATGAATGTTAAAATCTTTTTTACATGTAATTGGGGGAAAATAATACATTAAATTTTTTAAAAAGAATGTAAGCTCTTTGAGGGCAGACACTATCTTGGCTGTGTATCCTTGCTGCTCAGCACAGTTCGTGGTATATAGTAAGTAATTAAATAACCGCCCTTTCTATCTATAGACCCACCTGTCTGTCAAATCTTCACACAAAGGATAAATTGTATTGTGTATTTTAACGGTTTATGGAGGTGCCTCCTAGAGGCAAAGTTCCTTAATAAAAACCCTGGGTATTTCAAGATTTTTAACTGATCTTCCTTCTCCCCATTTTAGACTAGAGACAATGTTCTAATTTTGTTTTTAAGACCCTCTAGGGGTCTCACTCAACCCTCTGAGCAGAGGCCCACTTCCCTCCCATTTCATCCTGACTATAAATCCAAAGCTGGAACTATTGATGGGGTGGGGTTTTGGTTCCATTAAAGTCTGAGTTCAAATTCTTGGGGGACTCCCTGTACGCTGATGCCAAAGAGGGATTTGATAAGGAGAAAAGGCTGGCTTTCTTTTGGGACATCTCTTGTCTGGGGGAAGAGGAATAGCAAGGTTGCTGCCTAGGAAAGGATCTTATCAATAACCCAGCCTTAACTCTTGTGATAGTCCCGTCTGACCTCTCTGCCTCTCCTCCCCTACTGAGGCTTGACTTAATCTGGGCTCTTCTCACTGGGGCTGTTCATATTCCATGGTGCCCCCATCCCAATGTACATCTCCCTAAGCCCCTAACACATTAGTCAGGCTAGTGGGACAAGACATCACACAGGAAAGGAAAAAAGAATCAATCTCAAAAGACCTTGGGGGCTTTTCAGATGTTCATAGTGTGTTGAACTCGGGGTTAGAAAACCTGGATTCAAAACCTGACCTGGCTATTTTTTGCCTGTGTGACTTTGGGCAAATCGCTTAGCTTCTCTGGGCCTCAGTCTCCTCATCTGTAAAATGAGGGGGTTGGATTAGATGATGTCTAAGGTCCCTTCCTATTGCAGATCTAAGATTCTATGAATTATGACTCCTCCCGACCCACCCCTCAAAAAGGAAAATCCCACAGACCTTCTGTCTTCATGTACCTGATCCCAATTCTTCACCAGCTCAGAGGACAGGCTGCTTAGACTAGTTTGGGTCTCCACAGTCTTTTGGGAACATCTGGAAAGGATCTCGTTAATCTAGGGAGCAGAAAGGAAAGGGTTTGTATAGCACTCTTGCTCATCAGAGATGCCCACCTGGAGGCAGAGGCGTGGATAAGTGGGCCTCCCCCAAATCACTCCAAGTCAAGGACCGGCCCCACCTACCCCACAGCCCAGGTGCACTCACAGTCTGTAGCTTGGATCTCAGCTCCGCTGCCTCCTTCAGCTCTGGCACCTCTGACTCCCCAGTCGTGGAGGCGATCCTGGAGACAAGGAAGAATATATTCTCCAGATGTATTTTGAATTCTCTCTCTCTGGGCCACATGGGTGTAGAAGTTATACCCATCTACTGTTGGCTAGGAGGTTATGGGGCTGGTGCCCTGGAGTAACGAGCAGGGTTTAGAAATTCCTGGTCAAGGGGCAGCTAAGTGGCACAGTGGATAGAGCACCAGCCCTGGATTCAGGAGTACCTGAGTTCAAATCCAGCCTCAGACGCATAAGACTTATTAGCTGTATGACCCTGGGCAAGTCACTTAATCCCATTGCCTAGCTTAAAAAAAAAGAAAAAGAAAAAGAAATTCCTGGTCAGGGAACTCCTGATCACCTGAATTACTTCAACCCAGTTCATTCACTTGATGAAATTATAGGCTGCAATGTGCAGTTAATAGAGATGATGAGATATACCTGCTCATTACTTTTACAAGCTGTGAATGGGTCACTCCAAGTTGGATAAGGGTCAGTCCTTATATCTCATTGCCTGTTACCTAGATCCTAGAATTAAGGTTAAGGCGACTTGATCAGGGGTCTTCTAAAGAATAGCACCCCCCCTCCACCTATCATTGTACGTATACACACTGTGCTCAGATATTAAGCATAGAGTCTTGAACTTTAGACTGGAGGTGAGCTAACACAAGGCGATTGTATCGGAGTGGGAGGGGAGGAGGATGGGCAGGTAACCTAGCTAAGGTCGTAGAGCACAGGAAAGCAAGCACCAACAATAGCATCCTACCCTTCATTCTCTTGCTTCCTCCTCTCCTCCCACAGTCGTAACAGGCGGTTGGTTCATCAAGTGGGGAAAAAACACTGGGAAGCCTCTACTAGCTGTGTGACCAGGGGCATGCCTTTTAACCTTTTAGCCTCAGTTTTCTCATCCATAAATTGGGAATCATTGCACAACCTACCTCACAAGTAAATTGCAAGGAAAAAGCTTTAAGGTTTAAAAAATACTATAGAAAGGAGAGCGATTTAAAGTAAGGCTGGAAAACCATAGGGTCTAGTACAGGTTGGGAACCTGCGGTCTTGAGGCCACATGTGGGCCTTCTAGGTTCTCAAGTTTGGCCCTTTGACTTGAACTTCATAGAACAAATCCCTTTAATAAAAGGATTCATTCTGTAAAACTTGGACTCAAGAACCTACAAGGTCACATGTGGCCTCAAGGCCCCAGGTTCCCCACCCTTGGTCTAGTACTAGTCTCTCTCACTCCCAAGCAGTCTAATGGTAACTCAAGGAGGAGTTGGTAAGCCATAGTAGGTAGAATAAGAAAAATCTACTGAGTCAGGAGGCAAGGGAGGGTCTGAAAAGGGGGTCAGGAGCCAAGGCGGCAGAGGCCTTGACTAAAGGAGAGGGTGCTCAGCAAAAAGAAAAGGGAGAGGTGAGAAGGAGACTTTCCTATTGCCTCCAGGATCAAACAGAGAGTCCTCTGTTCAGCAAAGTCTTTCATAATCTGGCCCCTTCCAACCTTTCCAGTCTTAGACTCTGCCATCCAGTGGCACTGGCCTCCTGACTATTCCTCACACAGGACACTCCATCTCTCTGCTTCCGGTATTTTCACAGGCTGTCACTGGAAAGCCCACCCTCCTCACCTCCAGCTCAGTCTCAGCTTATCCCTTTTTCAGATCCCCCTTAATTCCACTGCCTCTCCTCTGTCAATTGTCCTCCATTCATCCTGCATATAGGTTGTCTGGACATGGTTGTTTGCATGTTGTCTGTCCCATCAGACTGTGAGTTCCTTGAGGGCAGGGGCTGTTTTCTGCCCTTTTTTTTTTTTGGTCACAGCAAAGTGCCTGGCACATAATAGGCACTTAATTAATACCTGCTGGCTCAACTTGAAACAGCTGGAGGGAAGGGGGTGGGGGGAGTTCAGCAGAAGGGGTGGAAAATCACCACACACAGAAGCCTTTGTGCATCATCACCTGGATACCTAGGGCTTTGGCTTTCCCCAAAAGTCAAAGCCAGATCATTAAAATATCTCAAATTTCACCACTGAAATTGCTGGTGGTTTCAGACTCAGCAAGTAAAGCACAAAGGGCTGAATATGTTCCTAAGTGAATAGAACCATGAAATGCTTTGGAGGGGACTATGCGGACTGAGTAGTGAATGCTTTAATTATACAGATGAGGACACTGAAGTCCAGAGTGGTTAAGTTAAGTTGTTCAAGGCCACAGAAAAACAGCAGCATAATCCAGGTTGAGAATTTACAACCTCGACCTCATTTGCCTCACAACAAACTGACTTCCTGGTGGATGGTTTAAATGTTCCTCAGAAGAGGGTGGCTCTGGAGCGAAGGCCTCCCAGCTGCAGTGACCTCATTTCTTCCAGGCCTTAGCCCCCGCATTCATGTTGGCAGTTAGTCAGCCCCCCTGCAAAGGAAACTCCCGACTCCTCCCTGGGGCAAGCCAGGCAAGAGCAGAGATCGCTAGACATGCCTGGCTTCTCTCTCAGTCCACGTCTCCTACTGATGGGAAAGGCTGGGGCTGCTCACAGCCAGGTTGTCTCGGCTTCCCAGCCTGGGACAGAGGCTCAGGTCCAAAGGTGAACCCTGGCAAAATGTAACGCATTAGGGGAATGAGATCTCCTGGAGGCATTCGCAGCAGCCTGCAGTCTGAGATTTCCCAGGACATGCCTGCGTGGGGTTTGTCTCTTACCTTATCCTCCCTTCTCCCCCCCCCCCAGCCTCTCCCCTCCACTGTCCCTGAGCAGCCTGAGATGGAGACAAGAGATGTCCAGTTGGGAGACCAGGGGCTGTGGCCTCAAGGAGGAAGGAGAGGGAAGAGCCCCTTAGACTGGCAGAAGAGCCCAGAGGAAGAAGGAGATTACAGGACCATATATCTGGTCCTGGTCATCTCTTATTTTACAGATGAAGGGCCTGAAGCTTGAGGTGACTTGTCCAAGGTCACACAAGCATCAGAGATAAGGAACCCATATCCTCCAAGTTCAGAGCCAAAGATCTTTCCACTATTCCTTGTTGCTGGCTGGTGTGAGTGTGTTTTGGGGAGAGGTTGCTGCATGGTGACTCCCAGACACTCCCTCTCTTAGGCTTAGTGAAGCCTGAGCAGCCCATCAAGTTCAAGTTCAAACTTCATTTGGACAGAAGACTTTTTTTTTTTTGCTTTTTGGTGAAGTGGTAAGGGTTAAGTGACTTGTCCAGGGTCACACAGCTAGCAAGTGTTAAGTGTCTGAGGCTGGATTTGAACTCAGGTCCTCCTGACTCCAAGGCCAGAGCTCTAGTCACTACAACACCTAGCTGCCCCAGAAGACTTTACTTGAGACACAACAGTGGGTTAGACAGAGCTGGGAGTCCAGCCAGGAAGGGCAAGGGGCCCCGCCTACCTCTTTCCCAGAGCACTAGTAGGGTTCACTAATCAAAAGGGTGTTGGATTGAAAAGGAAGCCAGGCTTTCCAGTCAATGCCGCCAGGGTTTCTAAGGCGGCAAGGAAACAGCTAAACCCAAGGGGGCTGCTGGGAAGACTAGGGCATGGATGCAGGATGGAGTCAAGGAGAAGCCAGGAGCATCACGATGGGGTTTTCAGAGTTTTCCCCCCCTCCATTTTAGTTCAGACACCTACCCCTCAGTGCCCAGACTGGGGCTCAGGAACAAGAGGGCTGTCTGAGTGGTCTCCAGGGTCCGCCCACATGTGGCCTTGAGCTCCTCCCTGTATAAGATCCAAGCCCCAGCCCACCCCACCAGCGGAGGTTAGAGACCCCTCCTTGAGCCAGCACCCTGAGCTCAGGACCCTAGGAAGCCACCTGATTCCGTGAGGCACATCTAGAGGATGGTTTGGGCTAGGTTAGGGGATCAGGTCAGGGATAGGGATCACAGAGAGGGGACAAAATGAGGTGATGGGGAGGGAGGGTAGGGTCAGAGGAGTAAGAACTCCATAGTAATTAGGTAAGAGCTTTTCAGCTCAGGAGGGTCTGGGGTAAGTGCTCAGAGGAAGGGGAAGGAGCTGGTAGTCTAGCTTCTGCCACTCCTACCCAGCCAAGATGATGGTCCCCTGCCTCATCTGGTCCCTTCTCCCCCACCTCAGCCCCACCCCAAGGTACCTACACCACCCAATGCAGCCCCCGAAGCATCATTTCCTGACCGTCCAGCAGTGCCCGGGAGATCCTCAGAACTTGGTGCCCCACGCTCAGCACACCCTGCGACACAGACAGGGGGTCTCAGGGCTCACCCTTCCTTCCCACCTTTCGGGGAGGTTCCCCCCCCGCCCCTCTTCCCTGCTTGGACCACCGAGGGCCCCTCGTCCTTACCTTGGCGGTGTTGTAATCAGCCTGCAGGTCCACCTTGGGCACAAATTTGGGAACATCCAGGGATGCTGGGGACAGATCAAGGCCCTGATTACAGCCACTGAGCAACCCCACCTTCTTCCATTCCTTAGCTTCGGCTCCAATTCATTTTTCCATCCGTCAATCACACACACCCCTCTTACCTGTCCCCTAATCTACCTCCCTTAATCCTCATGACCTGTCACTCATCTGAGTCTCCTGGGATCTTCTCAGCCGGTCCTTTTTCCCCTCCCCACCAGTCCACCTTTCTTAAATTCAAATTAATCTTAGGTCTTACATTTGTATTCTGATAGTGACCTCTTGTGGTCATTCTGGAGAATAACATGCCTGACTTGTAGATACTAGGAAAAAGACTAGTTGCCATCTCTGGGCACTCTGCCACCCTTGCCCCCACAGCACCCAGATCCCACCTGGCACAGAATTTAAATCCTATACATGGACCTAAAGGCAAAGCTTGGATGGGTCTCATCCTAAGGGAGCTATCTACATTAGTACGATATATGCAAAGCGCTTTGCAAATCTTAAAACAGGATAGAAATGCTGGCTATTCTTTTCTTCTTCCAGTCCTCCGAGGTTCTGGCCACTGATCCCACAGCAGCAAACACAGACGAGGCCTGTAACACCCAGAAGCCAAGCTAAGCTGTCACAATCATTCATAGTTTCCTGACACGTCTGGGTGACAGGTGAACAAAATTAAGGCCCCAAGGAGTCAAGGCAGAGGTCACCCAAACACAGAGGCAGAGCCAGGATTATCTCCAGGCCTCCCGTGTCTGGGAACCCCCCAGACTGACCTGGCCAACCCCCGGCTTCTAGCGTCTCTGGTGAGAAGAGACATCGGATGTGTCTCAGGAGGCCTTACTCATGGCCAGAACCCTACTCACGGTCTCTGAAGACCAGCCCAGTGGGGTTTTCACTGTCTTCACTGAGCAGGATTAAAGGGCTCTCCTCGGTTGTATGAGCCAGGTGTTGGGCAGGGAGGCTGGGCTCTAGGAGGCAAGGGTGGCCTTGAAAGAAGTATTCCTGGTGGCTGGGCTCCACACTGGTCTGCTTATACACGCCCTCCAAAAAGATGCCCATCCTAGAGGCAGGAGGGATAGAGCACAGTTTAGAGCTTCAAGATACTAGAGCACTCTCCTAGTAAAGGCTCAGCAAGGCAGGTAGAACAGGTGTGAATATTTCCCTTACAAAGAGAAGGAATCAGAAGCACAGCGAGGTTAAGTGATTTATGCACAGTCACACAGCCAGGAAGTGGTAGAGACCCAGAGTAAACGTCTTGAACGCCAAGTCCAGGACTCTTTACTACTTCTCTGAAAGCATGGTTGAAGAAAGAAGGCCTAGAAGGAAGAGGCAACTTCAGAGATGGGAGAAAAGCCCAGGGTAGAAGACCCTCCAAACTTCCACTTATCTAGGGCATTCAGTCCTAATGTGCTCTATAGGAAACCAGAGCAATGGGTCTATTTTAGAGAGGGAGAGGCAAATTGAAGCCCAGAGGGGTAAAGAAGTGGGCCTCTGGTCACAAGGAGCACACCCAAAAACAGAACCTAGGCAGGGCATCAAGACATGATTTAAAAAAGAAAACACTGGATTTGAAGTCACAGGGCCTGGGTTTTATATGTATTACTTGTGTAAGCATGGGCAATTTACCTGGGCCTCAGTTTCCTTATCTGTAAAATGAGTGGGTTGAATTATACAATCTCTAAAGTCTTTTTTAGCTTTAAAGCCTAATATCCCAGGAATCCTGAAACTCAATTCAGGGGTCCAGCTACCATCATCATCATCAACATGCATGCATTAGCACACTAGGCACTGTTCTAAGCACTGGGGATTCAAAAGAGGCAAAAAGCAAATGGCCGAACAAAATATGGTGTGTGAATATAATGGGGTACTATCGTGCCATGAGAAAGGAGAACCTTAGACTGTGGACTCCCTGAGAGCAGAGAACCCTGTGCCTTTCTTTCAATATCCAGTACTCAGCACAGGGCCTGGCACATAGCAGGGGCTTATAATGAATGCTAGCTGATGAAAGGGTTATAGAAACCTAGAAAGGTTTGTATGAACTGATGCAGAGTAAATAGAGCAGAACCAGAACAGTTTAAACAATAGCAGCAAAAACAAATAACTTAAAAAGAAAATAACTCGGGGAGACTTCAGAATTCTGAGCAATGCAATGATCAGCCCCTATTCCAGAGGACTGGAAACATGAAGTGCACTCTCTGCATCTTGACAGGGAGGTGATCAATTGAATGTTCAGAATGAGAAATCCGTTTTTGGATATGACCAATATGCAGATTGTTTTGTTTGTGTGTATTTGTTACAAGGGTTTTCTTTTTACTTTTTCCTCTCTTAATGGTGGGAGAGAAGAAAAAAATAAATGCTTAATTAAGAAATAATTAACCTGCCCCCCCCCCAAAAAAAGAGGCATTCCCTTTAAATCCCTGAACTTCCTCTGGCACTGAGCCATCTCCTTCCTCTTCTCACACTCCTTCTCTTGCTCCAGTGAGACAGCAGTGTCTCTCTCTTGTATCACTAGAAGAGAAGGGGAGCTCCCTCCCACTCTCCCTTGCACAGCAGGTACAACTTACGTATTGTGGGCATGAATGTAGACATGGTGCAGGACAGCCCGAGACAGAGAAAATACATGGACCACAATCCGCTGAAGGATGTCGCTGGTCTCGGCAAAGAACTGGTCAAAACCCCAACATTTCTCTTGATCGACCTCCAGGATGTTGGCCAGGATTGGCACCAGCTGGGCCTGCAGCCCCCTACCCCAGTCGAGGATATGGACCATCAGCAGCCAACCTCCAAGCAAGCCTGTGCCATCTTAGCCCTGCGCTCTTTACTATCCACGCGGGAAAGTAACAATAGCTCTCGTTGAAGGTATAGTAAGAGCTTTGGGCCTGCTGGCTTACCTGGCTTCCTCTGTGACTCAGTTCACATACTACTGCAGCAGGAGGCCTTTCCTGATCCCTTTTTATTCCTACCACCACCACCATTGCAATCCTCTTCAATACCTTCCCTCCTGAGATCCATGTATCTTGTATGTACCCAATTATCTGTATATTGTCTCCCCCTTTAGATTATGAGCTCCTTGAGGGAAGGGACTGTTTTTGTGCCTTTCTTCCTATATCTATCTCTTCTACTGTTTGTGTTTAAACTTCTTGAAAAGGGGCAGTTTGGTGGCACAGTGGATAGGGCACCAGGCCTGGAGTCAGGAAAACCTGAGTTCAAATCCAGCCTCAGACACTTGCTAACTCTGTAAGTCCAGGCAAGTCACTTAACATCTGTTTGCCTCAGTTTTCTCATCTGTAAAATGGGGATAATAATAACACCTACTTCCCAGGGGTGTTGTGAGGATTGAATGGGACAATAGCCATAAAGTGCTTCGGCACTGAGCTGGGCACATTGTAAATGCTATATAAATGGTTATGCTTATTATTATTGTTATTATAGTAACAATAGAGGTCTCCCTCCCCTTTATCTCTTCTCTGTCTCCTCTTAAACCCTTACAATCTTTCTATCCCCATTGCTTGTTAAGGCAGTGCCTAGCACAGAGTAGGTACTTAATAAATGCTGACTGACTCACAAAGCCTTGGGAGGCGAGTGATATGAATAGTATCACCCCCATTTTACAGATGAGGAAACTGCCAGTATTGCACCTCTAGGAGTGTGAAGCTAGGAGCTGGAAATGTCAGTCTAGGTTTCTTCTGAATCCAAGGCCAGAACTATTTCTACTACACCATAGGGCTGACCCAGTGAGGTTGGATGGAGAGGAGGAGGGTGGACCAGGAAGAACTCTTAGCATTGAACTGACTGAGGAATGGACAAAGCCTATCGTGGACCCAGCCAGGACCAGGACCAGGAGCAGGATGCAGAAGTCTTAGCTCCCAGTTGGAAGAAGGGAACGTATAGGACAGACTCAGGCCTCAGCAGGCCTCAGTCGGCCTCAGCCCCAGGATCACTACTTACAGGGACAGCCTGCAGGTGACGGGCAGCTTGTAACTCCACTCCAGGGGCCCGTTTTCTCGTTTTTGGGTACCTGCAATGGCCCCAGTTGGTTTCTCTGTGGTGATCCTGAACCTGGAAGGAAGGGGAACCCAGGGTCAGGAGAAACTCCCAGGTTTCCATGCCAGTGCAGAATACAGAAGGTGTACACATAGAGAACATAAGCTTCAGAGACTGTTAGCGCTATAACAAGATAGAGAGAGAAAAAAAGAGACAGAAAGAGAGACAGAGAGAGAGACACACACACAGAGACAGAGAGAGAGAGAGACAGAGAAAGAGAGACAGATAAAAGAGAGAAAGAGAGAGAGAAAAGAGACAGGGAGAGAGAAGAAGATAGAGAGAGAGAAACACAGAGAGAAAGAGAGAGACAAAGAGAGAGAGAGAGGGGAAGACAGAGATAGAGAAACACAGAGAGAAAGAGAAAGAGACACAGAGAGAGAAAGAGAGAAAAAGAGAGACACACACAGACAGAAACAGAGACAGCAAGAGGAACAGAGACAGAGAGAGAAAAGAGACAGAGAGAGACACAGAGACATAGACAGAGGCAGAGAGACAGAAAGAAAGAGAGAGAGACAAAGAGGGAAAGAGAGAAAGAGAAAGAAAAAGAGACAGAGAGAGAGAAAGAGAGAAAAAGAAACGGAGACACACAGAGAGACAGAGAGAAACAGAGACAGAGAGACAGACAGAGAGAAAAGAGAGAGACACACACACAAAGACATAAAGAGAGAGACAGAGGGAGAAAGAGAGCGACACAGAGAGAGGGAAAGAGAGAGAAAAAGAGAGAGACACAGAGAGATCTCATATATCTCATTTTTTCCTCACAACAACAGTGGGAGTTGGGCGCTATTATTATCCCCATTTTACAGATGACGAAATGGAAGCAGACATAGGCTAAATGCCTTGCCCCAGGTCACACAGGCATGAAGTGTCTGAGGCCAGATTGTACTTGGGTCTTCCTGACTGCAGGCCCCATACTGTAACCATTGTGGCATGTAGCTGGCACATAATAGGAACCACAGCTCCAAGAGGGTAAGCACCGTTACATTTTTGTCTTTGTATCTCCAGCCTACTTAAACATAGTGTCTGGAACATAATAGGAGCTTACTACATGTTTATTAATCAAGTGATTGGGAAGTGAAGACACTTGTATAAAGTCACATAGCACCTCAGTGAGTGCAGGAGTCCTGGAGCCCAGGTGAGTGCACCGCCCTACCTCAGTTTAACCTTCCTAGTGTATTCAGGTAAGCTTCCTCCCCCTCCCAAGTCCCTCTGGATCACCACCCACACCTGGTCCTTCTCTGTGCTTTACCACATAATATTCCCCATATCCACAATGTCCTTGCCCTTCCTCTCAGGCCCAAAGGCTCTTTCTCTGACCATTCCAGACCTGACAGTTGGGTCCACATAATTTTAGTCCTGAATTCAATTTGGTTTCAATTGCTCTAATGATTCTGCACATGCCTAAGCTAGGCTAAAAGCTCCCTGGGAAGAAGGAGTGTTCAGGGGTCCTTGTCTCATCCTTCCCTTTGTGATTTACACAGCCTTCTGCTTGAGTCAGGGACTGGATCACCTACAGCATCCTTTATATCCCCAGCACCCAAAATGGCATCTGATACCTTGCGGATGCTTGTTGAATTTAGTTATATATACTCAATGGATACCTAGCAGATTGACTGCTAAGGGGAGGCCTAGGGCACCCACTTGGGAATTCCTCACCACAAAAAGGAGGCAGGGGTGGAAGGGCTAGGATGGGAAGGGCAGTGGTGAGTAAGGGGAAACAATATTTTTTGTTGGAGCACTTGTTATGGGGAGGAAGGTAGAAGAACCACTGGGATAGAAGGGTTAAGAACCAGCTTCTGTACTGGAAAAAAAAATCTGACTCTAATCAAAGGACCTAGGTTCAAAGGCCACCTCTGACATTCCTTGTGTGACCTGGGAAGTGACTCTTTGCTCCCCTGGGCCTCAGTCTCCTCCTTCGTAAAATGAAGGAGTTGGGTTCTTTGGCTTCTGGGGTCCCTTCTGGCTCTCTGAGCCCTTCCCACCCTACAGGGGTGCACTGCTGCCAGTCTCTCCTTGCCTCCCCGACCCCTGGCATACATGATCTCCTTGTTGCGTCGAGGCCCACCAAAGGGGACAAAGGGGAGGCTGCCCGTGGCTGCGTGGTACAGGGTCACCCCAATGCTCCACAGATCTACTGTCACCCCAAATGCCTTCTGCTGAGGCTTCCGGAGCACTGCCCGCTCATAGACATCTGGGTGCTGTGGAAGGAACAACCGGAGAAGGACCATTGTTGGCAGGTGGAGTGGGAAGGGGTCTATTCTTTGTGGGGCACAGATGTTCTATGTACCTATTGCTTCCACGCCTCCTTCCTCTTCCTCAGTCTAAGACACAACCAATTTGTAATCCATCTAAGTCACCACCTCATCCTGAGAGTAGGATTTGCCCAGCATCACAGTTTCTGACACAATGAGGCAATGTGTTAGAGTTGACAATGCATTAGACTTGGAGTCAGAAAGACCTGAGTTCAAATCCTGCCATTTAACAAACTGTAGCCCAGAGCAAGTCTTCTCAGCTTTCTCATTTGTATAATGGATTTGGACTTGAAGGTTTCTAAGGTCTCTTCTAGCTCTAAATCTATGATACTCTGTATGACCAAAACTGTGACACAAAAATGGTGTCCTCAGGCTGGGGTCGCAAACTCTCTGGGCCTCAGTTTCCTCCTCTGTAAAGGGGATGAATCTATCAGCTCTAAATCCCATTATTCTATGAGATGAGCAAATCTCACTCTCCAATGGGCCTCTAATTCTCAGTTCAGGACTTTTTGCCTGCTTTGGAAATGGTCCCTAACTTCCCTTTCCTGGCTGTGGGCTCTAAAGAAGATGGTCCCCAGGGCAGGAGGAGTCAAACAAAATCAGGTTGGAGGATGAAGAGATCTATGGCCCAACCCAGCCTGGGGGACGTGGAGAGAAGGCAAAGGATATCCACCCCACCGCAGTTGGTCTATCATTATTAGGACAGTACCATATGTTAGTATAATACATCCCGATACCATAGTATAATATAACATGTGGTATAATATATACTAATACCATATTATAATATACTACATGGTATAATATATACTGATACCATTGTATAATATAATTCATGGTATAATATATATTAATACCATAGTATTATATAATACATAGTATAATATATACTAATACCATGGTATAATATATACTGATACCATAGTATAACACCTGGTATAATACATACTGATACCATAATATAATACCTGGTATAACGTATATTGATACCATAGTATAATGTAATACATGATATAATATATACTGATACCATAGTACAGCACAGTATAACATATACTGATACCATTGTATAATATAAGTCATGGTATAATATATACTAATACCATCGTATAATATATACTGATACTATAGTATAACACCTGGTATAAGACATACTGATACCATAATATGATACCTGGTATAACATATATTGATACCATAGTATAACGTAATACACGATATAATATATACTGATAACCATAGTAAAATACGTGTTATAATATATACTGGATACCATCGTACAGTATAGTATAATATATACTGATATCATAGCATAATATAATGCATGGTGTACTATACTGATACCATGTATTAGCAGGTCAGATATTATCCTGTTCACAGATAGGGGGATGAACTGCACAATATCCCACTAAGCTCTGGGGAAGTTTCAAGGAAGGGACTGTAGGAAAGGTTCCCAGTTCAGAGCACACAACACACACAACTTACCAGGTATTCTTCTGTCCCATAGACAGAGTCAAACTTTTCATCATCTTCCAGCTCCCTGGCAGCCCCAAAATCTGTCAGCTTATAGATGCTCTGCCCGTCGTCTCCCAAGAGCCTCATGATGTTACCAGGTTTGATGTCCCTGTGGACGATGCCATTCTCTCGGAGGTGGTTCATGCCAGCCACTGAAAATAAGGGGAGATGTTTGTCTTTGTGGGGAGGACTCCCCAAGGGGCTGAGCCAGGAGGATCTCAGAGGGGACTGAGGAAAGTGAGGCACGGTTAAGTGATTTGAGAGATAGGTGTATTATCACCCCCATATTATAGATGAGGAAACTGAGGCAAACAGAAGTTAAGTGACTTGCCCAGGACCATACAGCCATTAAGTGTCTGAGTATGTATTTGAACTCAGGAAATCCTCCATGGTGGTCTAGTGGTTAGGATTCAGTGTCCCTACTCCCTCAGCCCAGGTTTGATTGCTGGTCAGGGAAGAAACTTTTGGGCAGCTAGGCGGTGCAGTAGATAGAACCCTGAGCCTAGAGTCATGAAGACCTGAATTAAAATCCGGCCTCAGACACTTCCTAGCTGTGTGACCCTGGGCAAGTCACTTCACCTTCTTTGCCTCAGTTTCTTCATCTGTAAAATGAACTGGAGAAGGAAATGGCAAAGCGCTCCAGCATCTTTGCCAAGAAAACCCCAAACGGGGTCAGGAAGAGTCGGACAGGACTGACAAATGACTTTACAACAATGTCCTGGCTCCAAGTCCAGAGCTCTAACCATTGTACCACCTAGTTGTTCCATAATTGTGAAAAGGTACAGAAGAGAAAGGAGTGAAAATTTCCCATTCATCCATTTAGTGAACTCGGGGGCTCTGGTTTCATTTTCTGAAGTCACCTTGTGTTATGTTTTGGGGGGGGGCCCATAGTCTAGACCATCTAGTCCAGATCTGGAACTTCAGTGTGGTAACTTAGACCACGACAGGAAGGATCTGGGTTAGAGCAAAGGAGGGAAAACAACCTGAATTTTACACTGAGTGGTTTGGGTTTGTTTTATTTTGTGTTGTCTTATGTAATTGGGGTTAAGTGACTTGCCCAGGGTCACACAGCTAATAAGTTGTCAAGTGTTTGTTCTGAGGCTGGATTTGAACTCGGGTCCTCCTGACTTCAGGGTCGGTGCTCTATCCGCTGCGCCACCTAGCTGCCCCTAAACTGAGTGGTTTGTTATAAAATATTTGGCATTTCTGGTCCCTGTATTTTCTCCTGCCTGTGGGGGGAGGCAGGGATGCCCAGCAAAGCCTTGAGAACATGATATATATATATCTCATAGCGTCCCAGGATGCTGGCAAAGGTAGTATGTATGCTGTGCTGCATTTGGAGTTCAGAAGACCAGAGTTTAAATCCTGTTTCAGACACTTACTACTGTTCTTGGGTAAGTCGCTTCAGTTCTCTGGGCCACAGTTTCCTAATCTGTAAAATGCCTAGGTTGAAATCTAAGGTTCCTTCTAGCATTATGATCTAATGTTAGATCAATCAACAAGCATTTATTAAGCACCTGCTGTGTGCTTGGCACTATAAGCACTGGGGATACAAAGAAACACTAGTCCCTGCTCTCAAAGAGTTTACATTCTAATGAGGGAGAGAACACACACACACACACACACAAATACATATGTATATACATACATGTATATGTGTGTGTGTATATATATATATATATATGTATGTATATATGTATATAAAAACATACAAGATAAATACAGATTAGAGGGAAGGTAGCCTTAGAGGGGATGGCACTAGCTGCTGGGGTGAGGGTTGGGGGGGGCAAGAAAGCCTTGAGCTCAGACTTACAGGATTCAGAGCTAAAAGGGACCTCATTGGACCTCTGCCTTTGCTCCCAGAGGACAAGGTTCCTAGGGTCTGAACACTAGAGCTGGGAGGAGCCCTAAAGACCACTTAGTCTAACCCTTTAATTTTACCGAGGAGGAAACTGAGGCCCTGAGAGAATCAGCAACCTCCCCAAGGTCACCTAGGTAGACAGTGCATTTAGGATCAAGAAGACCAGAGCTCAAAGCCAGCCTCAGATACTTATTAGCTGTGTGACCCTAAGCAAGTCACTTATCCTCCATCTGCCTCAGTTTCCTCATCCGTAATATGTGGATAATATTAGCACCTAACTCATGCAAGGAAGGTGCTCCATGGTGGTCAGAAGGAAGTTACAAGGACACTCTCAAGGTCTCTCTGAAGAACTTTGCAATCAATTGCATGACATGGAAGATGCTGGCAAAGAACTGCCCAGCATGGAGCACCCACATAAAAGAAGAGCGAAGCAGAGTTGCAGTAGCTCAAAAGAAATGGGAGTGGCACAAATTGAGACATCTCCACCCCAAATGTTCACGTGGACTATTTGTGCCCGACCTGTGGTAGAGCCTTCCGAGTTCATACTGGTCTGATCAGCCATAGTCAGACACGCTGTATGTTGGACGTGACATAGTGATGTATTTTTGGTCCTTTTCAAGAGTGAAAGACAACAGCCAACCTTACAGGGTTGTTATGAAGATCAAAGGCGGTAACACAGATATGCAAAGTGCTTTGCAAACCTTAAAGAACTACATAAATGCTAGCTGTTATTGTTATATAGCAGAGTCGAGATTTGAACTCAGGTCTTCAGACTCCAAATCCATCACCGCCTGATAAGCTCCATTATTGAAGAGAAACTGGAAGAAGGCTCAAACCCAGGGCTCAACCCACCCATCCACCCAACCCCCAATTATTCCTCCTGGAACTCACCCACACATCGCAGGACCACCAGAAACTCAGCCTCTGCTAGCCCAAAAGCATTCTCAGGGTTCTCCAGCACACTGAGCAGGCTGCCACTGGAGCAGTATTCCATCACCAGCACCTTGTCCTTATCAGTGCCCTGCAGAAAGGATGCCCAGACGGGCCTCTCCTCAGACTCCCAGGGAGGGGAAGGGCTGGCAGCTCCTGGCCCCTTCTTTACTCTGAGACTACCTGAGGTCTCCAAGTCTAGGATTCGGATCCTCTCTACTCACTCTCTACTTCCCCAGACCTTTCCTGTTCCCATCAATCTCTACCCTCTGCCCACAGCTGGCCCTCTCCTTGCCCCAAAGGGGACACTCCCCTCCACCCCACAGAGCCCTTCCCCACAGGGCTGGAAAACCTCTTTACCCAATTTCTAGTCCTATTCTTGCGCCCAAACTCGTCTCCTCCAGAAGCCCTCCCTAACTAACACAACAGGTTCTCATCGTTCCCTTAACCCTCACATACGTAATTGCTGGTTTGCTAATTTGTATACTATTTTAAGTCTTTCCTTTTTTGTGTCCTAACTCCCCCAGCTAGGGAGCTACGTAAAGAGGTCTCCTTCCTTCCCTGTATTTCCCTTTTCAACGCCCCCAACACATCAAAAGGCATTTATTAAGTACCTACTGTGTCAGTCAATAAACATTTATTGAGTACCTACTATATGCCAGGCCCTGTGCTAAGCACTGACAGGCCCAATGGAATGCTATTCAGCTGGGACTTCAAAAGACAGAAATGAAATTAAACTTGCCCTTAAGAATCTTATTGTTTATTGAGAGAGCCATGCACTTATGTAATTACACAAAATAAATATAGGGTTATTTGGGAGGGGGAGGGGCTAGCAGCTGGAGTGGATGATCAGGAAAACTTTGATATGGTCGATAGTGCCTGAGCTGATCTTTGAGGGAAGTGGGAGGTTCTGGAAGCGGAGATGATGAGGGCATGCATTATAGGCACGAAGGATAGCCAGTGCAAAAAGGACAGAGGTGGGAGATCGGGTGCCACAAATGAAGAACAGTAAGAAGACCAGTTTGGCTGAAATGTACAGCATCAGACCAAAGACATTGGTTGTAAAGGGCTTAAAAGACCAGTTTGGCTAAAAGGCAGGGTGTAACAAGACTAGAGATATAGATTGGTGCTGGGTTGCAAAGGGCTTAAAATGCCCAAATACAGGAATGTGTATTTGATCCAGGAGGCAATAGGGAGCCATTGAAGTTCATTGAATAGGAGAGGGACGTGGTCAGATCTGTACTTTGGGAAAATCATTTTGCAAATGACATGGAGGCTAGACTAGAGAGTGGCAGAGCCTTGGCTAATTTACTGAACATACCATCTCCTCCACAGCAAACAGCTTGACGATGTTTTGATGTTTCAGCTTCCTCAGGACCTCAAACTCCCTCACTCGCACTTCTCGGGGGCGTAGATAACTGGCATTGTTGAAGACTTTCACAGCAACGAGCTCCCCAGATTTCTGTAAGGGATGGGGAAGAGCGGCAGGGAAGATAATACTGGGTCCCACCTCTGCCTTGGGGAGCAGCCATTCACACTACCCTCTATCCACTCTAAGTTAGCACAGGAGCTCAGGAAAGCCCAGACAGGATTCCCAAGCTCCCCCAGGAAAATGAGATGCTCCAGCCCTGGGGAACAAGGTACAGTGGATGCTCCAGAAGGCTAACCCATTACAGGCCAGGAGGGATTGAGGACAATTAAAACAAGTCCACTCTTAGAGAGTCTTCCTGGGGCAGCTAGGTGGCACAGTGAATAGAGGACCTGAGTTCAAATGTGACCTCAGACAAATACTTGACACTTACTAGCTGTGTGACCATAGGCTAGTTACTTAACCCCAATTGTCTAAAAATTAAAAAAAAAAAAAAAGAAAAGAGATTCTTCCTTTGGAATGTCAGTTGTATTACGGGATCACATATTTATAGTTGGAAGGGCCTTAAAAGCCAACCCCTTCATTTTACAGATGAGAAAACTGGGGTTTATAGGGGTGAAATGATTTTCCAGCTGTCATATCACAGAGAGGTGGGTCTTAAACCCAGGTCTTCTGCCCAAGGCCGGTGTTCTTCTCACAAGTAGCCCAGCTTCCTCTAGAGAATAAAGCCCAAATTCAATCAGTCAATCAATATTTATTAAGTGCCTATTATGTGCCAGGCACTGTGCTAAGTGCCATCCCTTGGTGCCTGTATCAGACAGAACACTGAGCCAGATAGACCAAAAGATCATAGATTTGGAGGTCATCTCATCCTATGCCTTGATTTGATAGTTGAAAACACCAGGACTAGGGACTTCAAATGACATGCCCAAAGTCACACTGGCAAAGTTGGGGCTTAACTACAAGTCCCTGATTCTAAATCATCACTCTGTCTACTGCTCATCCCCTACGTGAACATTCTAATGCTTTCCACCAAGGTCGAGTAGGATGCTTTCTAGGCACTCAGCACTCACAATCTATCAGCCCACCATCCATGCATCTACCTTGTTTCGAGCTCTGTACACGCTGGCAGTGGCCCCCTGGCCCAGGAGATCATCCGTGTGCCAAAGGTAATTGGCCGTACTTTGCATTTCCGAAGTCAGCAACAGCCAGGCCCCTTTCTGCCCGAGAGAAGAGAAAGGCCAAGGGCCATGGAAAGGTATTCAGCAAACCTATGGATGCCCCCTAGCCAATCTGAGAACCTTATTTCCCAAGATTATCCCATATGGCTAATTGGGTTGGTAGCTCCCACATTTTAGAGGGAGAGAGAAGAAATCTTGATGTACAGATAAGTTGTGACTTCCTGAGGTCACACAACCCAGCACTAAGAGAGTAAGCATTTAAGCCTATCTTCCTAAAATTCTAAGCATCTCCCACCATGCACCTGTCTCCTAAGAACTTTCCCACCAATGCAGAGAGAAACTTCTTGCTTCAGCAGTCTCTTCCAGGACCATCAGCACTCCACATTACTGATGCTGGAATTTGGGATTAGACCAGGAAGCAGAAATAATACTGGGGGAAGGGCCTCAGGGTCAGGCAGCCTAAACCACAACACCAAAAATCTCCAAAATTTCAACACAGACTTGGAGCCCCTCCCCATTGGCTCACCGGGGGAATCCACCACTTCCTGTTTCAGCAAACCACTGCCTCCCTGGCAGATGGCTTGGGAGTTTGACACATCACATCCAGGGGAAAAAGGAATAGCAGGAGACAGATACCCCTTAGCAGCCTCAATCTCAATCCTGGCATCCATTATTAGCTTCCTGAGCGCTATTGCTCCCAAAGTCATTACTCTCGGAAAGCCCTTCCAGGAAGTCCAAGGAGTAGTCAAGACCAAATGCAGTGCATGTAACAAGACTTGAGAAGATTCTCTGGGTACTGGTTTGCTGGAGAGCCAGACTGGGGAGATGATGGGGAGGCCTCTAATCTGTCGTTCTCAAAATACCTTGTCTTGAACTTGCTAGATAGCAAATACTCCAGGGACTTTAATTTGACATTCAAACATGGTCTGCTACGTTTAAAGGTCTGGGAATCATTATTTTAGAGCTGGAGGGGCTTTTCCACTTTAAGGAAAGTTTTCTTCCCGTTTTCTAGGGATGCATGTGGGGTCTGGAAAGGCCGCTAAATTGCTAAGTAACACATTAGGTCTCTAAAACCTAACGTGAATGGATTTATTTATCTTATTTCCAACAAGACTGGATAGGAATCAGCAAGGAAACATTGGTTACCCTGGGAGCGGGGAGTGAGGAATACTCCAAAGGTTGGAGGGGAGGTCTGAGGAAGGAAAGATGAAGTTGAACTCTGCCCACTGCCCAGTGAAGTAGGGCCCAGCTACAGGGAAAGGTGACAAATGGAGTCTACTAAGCCGCTGAAAATGCTCAAGAGGACCTCGGACAAGGCTCAGGATTCCTGAACTCTGTTCTCTCCCGACCATGGTAAACTAAGACTGGAAACTCCCTGAGGGCAGGGACTATGACTTCCTCATCTTTTTATCCCTCTCAGTGAAGCATATGGCAGGTACTTAGTAAATATTTGCTGAATTCATAATTTAGTGCCTGTTCTTTATTTCTCTGCTCTGAAGTCAGGAATTAATAGATTTAATGAGCATGCAAGATACCCTATGTGTAAGGTCACACCTTAGGGTTGGGGATACAAAAACCAACCAAAAAACTGTCCATGCCCTCAGAAAGCTTACATTCTAGGGGTGGGGGTAGGGTAGAGGAATGCAGCGTTTACACCAATAAATAGACACAAAATAATTAAGTACCTCACAGGTGCTAAGCACGGAGGGAAGGGGAAAATTAAATCAGCCAAATCAAGCCCCATCTGCCAGGGGTCTAGGCCACACTTACCAGACACGCTCAGCACCACCCTGACACCTGGTTGTTCTCAGCAAGCCTGTAGAATGGGTTTTCTGTCCTAGGGAAGCCCAGAAACTAAAACGTACCTGAAAGAATGCAGAGGGGAGCCTCAGTGCCACCTGGCTGGTTGCAGCAAGAGGCTGAACCCTCCTCATCCTTCCTCAAAGGCTGCCTGCCTCAGCCCTTTAACCCTTTCCTGTTTGTCACACTCCCCGCAGGCTGGGGCCCTTGGGGGCAGGCTGGGGGTTTCCACACCTAGTACTCCCCAGAAACTCAAAGCTACTTCCTCTGCTTCGGATCCAGGCCAGAGACACAGCATCCACCTGGGAGAGACAAAGACACCAGAAACCAGACCAGAGAACAGAAAGCAGAAGGGGTGGAAACCTAGTCTCCTGAGGAAATGGCAACATGTAAGCTCCCTGGATTTATCTCTACCTTCTTTTCCTACCCCCCCCCCCAGATAAGAGGGTCATGGAATATCAAAGCTGCTAGTGACCTTAGGGATCCCATTCAACCCCCTGTTCATTGTGCAAAAGACAAAATGGAGGGACCTCTCCCAAGCCCCTTGAGTACAAAGACCCACCTTCATCCACGGTGGGACTTCAATGTGGATGGGTACAAGAGAGATGCAGCTGGAGAGAGAGAGGGCATGAGCCTGGGCACCATCCTTCCTTACACATGCTAGGTCAGGAGTGCTCCTGGTGTCCCAGAGCCAGCCAAGGACCAATGGCATGGGATGATGATTCCTGTTCTCTCCCCTCTCATCTACCCCTCTGTCAGCCCACTAACCCCCCAGAGCATCAGTGCACAAGAACGCCTCCCCTCCCCCAGCCCTGGGGCTACAGGGCAGCAGCTGTGACAGCTGCAATGTCAGGGTCCTACTGCCTAGAAGAGGTGGAGACATCAGCAAGAGTCCCAGGCTCACCTGAGGCCCCTGCACCAGTGTGTAGGGCTGGGCCAGGCCAGGCCAGGCAGATTACAGTGGAGGAGTCAGGAGCTGGAGACGTTCTTCTCCCCAGCCCTGCCCTAGCACCCAGCCCAGCTCAGCTCAGAACCTTGGCTCTCCTTCTCCAGTACTTCCTGATTTTTTTCTCTCTTTCTTAAAGCGACAGGGGCCCTTGCTCAGAGGCCAGTCCCCACCCTAAGCAGAAAGAGAAGCTTCTCTGTTCCTGAAGGGAGGAGATAGAGCCAGGTCTGAGCCTGCCAAGGAATCTAGTAAGGCCTGGTTGGCCCCGGGTCCCAGATACTGGAGGTCCGATAGGCTCTGTGCTCCCTGGAGTCAGGGAAGGCCAGGGCTCAGCCCCATTTCACTCAGCCAGCTAGCCAAGGTGCTTCGGCAGGTTTGACAAGTTAAGTTAGGCAACTGAAATCACAAGCTGCCTTCAGAAAGGCAGATTTCCCTGACCACCTCAGCTCACTTCACTTAGACCTGCTTCCGAGGAGACCCCTGAACCAAAAGCATTCCCAAAGGCCAGCACAGTGGCCTCCTCTCCCTCCTCTGATTGATTCTCCCTGGAGGCCTTGGGAAAGAGCATTGTTGGGATCATACTTTCTATTTGGCTGATACAAAACTGAAACCTAGGCAGGGACTGGCCCACAGCTGTGCAATGACACCGCTAGGAATCAACCCCAGGTGTCCCAACACCCAGCCAGGAGTCATTTTCCAGGACCCAACTGCCAGCTCCTGCCAGCTCTCCAGTTAGAACTGGATGAGAAGAAGGTTAAAACCAGGAAATGCCATGCTTCTGTAGAAAGGAGGAAGGGACTTTCCCAGGGCCACACCTGGTGGTTTCCTCTCTCAGCCCCACCCCTGACACCACAGTCAGTGTTGTACTCTGACATCATGGCAGCTTTAGGCAGATCTACCATTCATATATGTGCACAAATATTTTACCCAAGAGGCAGCAATGATAGAGGTGAGGATTGGTATCACCTAGCCTAAAACAGGCCTTCATGCCATTCTCCGGACATCTCCTGGACACGGCCCCACATTCCCATCCTCATCCTTGTCCCACCACCACCAAACCCTGGACTCTGCCCTGGGATAAGGGCATTGATAGGTGGCCTTTTACCTTATCCTGATTGGAAAGTAGGCCTCCAAGTCACTTCTCTGCTGGCTCTGCACTCTGCTCCCCTGCCCCCACCTCCATTAGAATGTAAGTTTCTTGAAAGTAGGGACTATTTTGCCTGCTTTTATTTATATCACTAGCACCTAACACAGTACCTATAGTAATAGTTTAATAAATTTTCTATCACCTTCCTTCCTTCCCACCTCCTCTCCCTCCTACCTTTTCTTTCTCTGTCCTTCCTTTTCTTTCTTTCCTTCCTTCCTCTCTCTTCTTCCCTTTCTTTCTTCTCCCCTCCTTTCTTCCCTCCCTTCTTCCTTCCTTCCTTCCTTCCTTCCTTCCTTCCTTCCTTCCTTCCTTCCTTCCTTCCTTTTTCTTTCTTTCTTTCTCTTTCCTTCTTTTTTTCTTTCTTTCTTCCCTCCTTCCTTTCATCTCTCTATCTCAGGGATTCTTAACTTTTCTTCTGTCACGGACACCTTTGGCAATTCAGTGAAATCCATGGGCCCCTCCTCAGAATAATTTTTGTTGCCGACATTTATAATTGAAGGAAATGCTAAATTTAAGTTAGAGGTCAACGAAAATAAAGATGTAAATATTCCCCCTATCCAGACCCCTTGAAATCTATCCATGGACTCCTTAGGGGTGATCTAGAAGGACTGGTATTGATTTCGGGTTGGAGACCTGAGTTTGAATCCTGACTCTGACACACTTACTCGCTGTGTGACCATAAACCAGTGGCTTAACCTCTTGGAGAACTGGCTGATCTCATCTGTAAAATGGGGATAATGCCCTCTCTATCTTACAGAGTAGGGTTAGGAAAGTGCTTTGTACTTGTGAGTGTACTATATAAAAGTGAATTGTGATCATACTGCCCTCCTTTTGGGCCAGCTTCTCACTTTGGTACAAAGAGAAAAGTCTCTCTATTTTTGCCCCATTTAGTGAAAATTCTCCCCATTAGTCTCTTGTACCTTCAAATTCTTTTCTTCTTGCTTCCCGTGGTCAGGTTGGTGGATCTAACCTGCCAAATCATTAGTCAGAATTTCTGATTCAGGTGAATTGTTCAGTTATGTCCAAGTCTTGGGATTTTCTTGGCAAAGATACTGGAGTGGTTTGTCATTTACTTCTCCAGCTCATTTTACAGATGAAGGAACTGAGGCAAATTGGGTGAAGTGACTTGCCCAGGGTCACACAGATAGTAAATGTCTGAGGCCAGATTTGAACCCAGGAAGATGAGTCTTCCTGACTCCAGGCCCAGTACTATGCACTATGGTGCCACCTAGCTGCCCGAGATTCAGGTGAGAGTCATCTATAAACTCTGCCTGTCTTTTAAAGCTTTTCACAACCTGGTTCCTTCCTCCCTTTCCAGTCTTCTTACATACATTTGACTCTTCAATCTAGTCCAGCCATACTGATGTTCACTTTTCCTCACATGCTCCATCTGCCATCTTGTCATGCCTGGAATGCACTCCATTCTTACCGCCAACTTTTGGAATCCCTTGTTTCTTTGGAAACTGAGCCAAAAATGCCAACTTCTATGTGATGCCTTCCTTGCCTCATCCCCTCCAGCTTGCCAGTGCCTACCCTCAGAAAAAGACTTTGTGTTAAGTTTGCATATATTCTGTATATACTTCTACGTGTGCCTGTCTCGCCAATTAGAATGTAAGCTCCTCAAGGGCAGGGATTGTTTCACCACTATCTGTGTACAATGTATCCCCAGTGCTTAGGACAATCCTGCACATAGCAGGCATCTAATAAATGCTTGAACTGCTCTCTCGATCAATTTAATCAACCAACAAGTATTTATTAAGCACCTACTATGTGCCAGGCACTGTGCTAGGTGCGGGGAATACAAAGAATGAAACAATTTCTACCTAAAATGAGCTTATGTTCTCATGGGGCTGGGAGGTCGTGGGGGACACTCAGGAGGCAGGCAATGAGGGCATATAAAAATATAAGCAGAATAAATAGTAAAAAGGTAATACATACGAAAATATACAAAGCACTTCAATATAAGGTAGTTTGAGAGGAAGGAAGTAAGCAATTGGCGGGGAACCAGAAAGTTTTCATACAGAAGATGGTGCTTGAACTGTGTCTTGTACTGGAAGGATTGCAGTACCTTGGACAGAAATGAGGAAATCTGGAATCGTCAGTGTGTGCAGGGGGAAAACGAGTCCACTTTTAGATATATTGGGTTTAAGATGTCAGTTTAAGATATATTGAGATGTCTCCTGGATATCCAGCTTGAAATGTCCAACAGGCAACTGACCTGTTCCAACTAAAATCCCACCTTCTACAGGAAGCCTTTCCCCAACTCTTTTATTCTAGTACCTTCCCTCTGTTAATTATTTTTAATTTATCATATATATACACACATATATATACATACATGCATACATATATATACACACATACACACACACACACACACACACACACACACATATATATATATATATATATACATATACATATAAACTTTTTTTGGTATATGTATTTTTGCAGGTTGTCTCCCCACTAGATTGTAAGCTCCTTGAAGGTAGGGACTGTCTTTTACCTCTTTTTACATCCCCAGCATTTAGCACAGTGCCTAGCACATAATAGGCACTTAATAAATATTGATTGATTGATTCATGCAGGTCTGATGCTCAAGGGAGAGACGGGGGCTGTACATATAGATCTAGTAGTCATCTATATAGAAATGATCATTAAACCCACGGGAGCTGATGAGGTTACTGAGAGAGTATAAAGGGAGAAAGAGAAGAGGAACCCGGACAGAAAAAACCTTGGGGAACACTCACAGTTAGGTGGCCATAGCAGGCATGATGCCAAGGAGACTGAGCAGGAGCGGTCAGACAGGTAGGAGGAAAACCAGAGGAGTGTGGTGTCACAAAAACCCAGAGAGGAGACAGTCTTTGAGAAGTGACGGACAACAGTGTCAAATAAAGCAGAGAGGTCAAAAAGGCTGAGGCCTGAGAAAAGGTCATCAGATCGGGCAGTTAAGAGAGTCCTGGCTGCTTGGGAAGGAAGCATCTCAGGTGAGGGAAAGGAAGGCAGACTGAAGAGGCCTGAAGAGGGGGGGGAAAGGAAGCAGAGGCTGCAGAGATAGATACCTTCTCACTCTTTCTTGAATCATAGATATGTGTATACGTGTCTTTTACTCCATCAGACTGTAAATTCCTTGAAAGCTGGCGTGTGGAGGACACTCAGTTGGTGCTTACTAAGCGCTCACTGAACCGTTTGGGCTGTGCCTTGCCTGTTGTAACCTGCCTTACTGGGGCACCTGGCACCAGATTTGCAGGTTGGTGAAAGTCCCATTCAACAGGGTGGGGAAAACAAACAAACAAACAAACAAAAAACCAGTGCAGAGCCTGACTCTGGGGCCGGTTGGAAGAAGGGAACATACGGGTTAAACCCTCAGCCTGAACCCTTGCTTTTTGCTCTCTGGCTGAGGGCTGAGGACTGTATTCAAATCTCAGACCCTTTCACTGACCGTTCACTCTTGCCAGTCCAAAGGAGACTCACAGATCCCAGGAGATTAGAAATGTCTCTGCTGGCACCTCTCCGGATTGATTTCACTCCTCCATCTAGTAAGAATATACTTTTCAATAGCAACAGGAAAGCTCTCTGTTACATGTTTAATGTTTACAAGAAATTTGGAAGAGGATTGGGGAATTAGAGCAGGGGCTGGGGTGGGGGCAGGAGAGAGAGGATGGTGAGGGAGCTTGTTGCAAAGGCAGAGAGATTGGGGGGGGGATGTTAAGTTATTCCCCTCCACTAAAAATTGACCTTTTTTTTAACTCGCACCTGTGGGAATCCCTGTTGGCCACTCCCTTCTGGAGCGAGCTCCTGGACCCTTCTATAGAGCGCAGCAAGGCGGTGGAGAGGGGCCCAGAAGAACAGCACCTAGCCCCCACACACCCAGCACACAGAGCAAAGGAAATGCGGGCAGAGTGGAAAGAATGAGTCAGAGGATGTGGGTGCGTATCTCGCTGTGTCACCTATTACCTGTGTGATCTTGGCCACGTGACCTCATCTCTAAAAGCCTTAGCTCCCTCAGGTGTAAAATGAAGAGGCTGCACCAAAGGAATCCCAATGGCTCTTCCGCTTGGGAAGACTCTTTAAAACTGGAGA